ACAATTATTAATAAATTATTAAATAAATTACTTTAAAATATATCATAATTTTTATAGCAAATTCTTAAGATACAAAACAGGTTTTTTTCCGGATCTGAAACGTTTCTTTTGTCAGATTCAAAGCCCGAGGAAAATTTCATCGCGGAATTGAACGGAAAATCCACGGAGCAAGAGGGGCGGCGGAGCGAGAGTTTGCGAGATCGGACAAAGAGCCCGTTCCGGTAACCAACTTAACCGGAAACTTGGAATCAAAGCAAACACGGAGAAAGTGCCCGCGGGGGTCAGCCCGGGTCAGGATCAGGCCGGTTCATCGTGAAACTCGATTTACTATCGCCGTGTAATCGCACGCGCGCTTCTCTCGTCCTTGTTCCCCACCTCGTCGTCTGTTTGCGTGTAATTGGGAAGCTTAAACCCGAATGCAACGATAATAACGCAAGTTTCCTCACATGATCGAGTTACTTCGGGATTGTCTTGAACGCCGCGAGCGGACGCGGGTCGTCGAAAATGGACGAAGGGGAGGCGAGTCGTGATTCCTCCTGTACACGAGTTTAAGTGCCATGGAGCTAGGAAATTGCGTTCGCCAAGTGCAGAACGTTTCTACGATTTGCTGTAATTTGCCGCAAAACCTCCTCTCGACTGTGACTAATGCTCGCAAACTGCTGTCCGTAATTTACTGTTTATTATGATTGTAATATTCTCGCTTATTATGGCAGCAAATCGCATCATTATCGCGTTTTATCGTTCGCCGGTGAAATTGGTTGTCTCTTCTCGAAAATGCGATTCAGATAAAATAAAATCAGGTAAAATAACATTTCTGTATATTTTCCTTTCTTGTGAAGATAATTCAACATTTCAAACATGCTCGATATAAACGAGCAGGATATCAAATACAGATTTTATTGCGTGTGCAAACGATATTATTGTCGTTGCGATAGAAAATCGCTCGCTCCTCGATAAAACCGTGTATTCTTTCGTAAGAATTTGAAGAAAATTACCGGATGGGCTGGCTTCCAGCGAATCGCCGAGGCTTTGCTGACGCGACTCCGAACAGGATTATGCGAATGCGTTTAATGCTCGCGTATCCCTCTCGCTCTCACCCTATACTGACTAATATGGTGGCGCACGCATAACAGGTATGATAATGGGAGCCGAGCCATGCGCGTTTATGTATCCGGACGGGGATTAAAGTAATGCATCGATGCATATCGGTTTGCATTGAGCCAAATGAGAAGATTTAAACCTTCTCGTGCAAATTACAAACGCATTAGTGACATTAGCTCGCGGGATCCCCGCGCAGATATGGGATTCTACGCGTGTCTTCGAATCATCATTCGTCGCGAGTGCAAAATTATTTCCTATTAATTGTTCGACGCGAATATTTCTCGCGGTAAAACATGCAAAAAGCATAAAAATTGGCATCGTCGTTTTTGCAAGAATGGCAACGTTAACGTTGTTCAACTCAATACAGACAAACAGACGAGTAATTTTTTACATCCCGTAAATATGTCCGATATTGCGGCACGGTAATTAAATTTTTGTCGAGGTCGTCCACGAAATAGAGATATTCTCAGAGAATTAAGGCGCGTAATATAATGAGCAAATATTCCTTTGAAGGAGTTTCGTGTCCGCTCATAGCACAGTCATTTAATAGATTCCAAATAGGACGCTTCGCCTATTGCGTATCTTGGGCAGAGCGCATGTTGCAATTAACCACGCTGATTAGGCAATGCGCTTTGAAGCGACATGCCCACGATGAAAGGTTCATATACCCTTCTCCATAATATCGCTGATTTTATACCAAAGGAAATTTCAAATTTCTCGAAATGCAATGGAAATAGCGGGAATTGCTAACACTATCATGTAATCCGATTAAGATTACGAAATAAGATTTCACTTATTAAAACTTATAACTTGCATGATTGTATTATATTATTATCATTTTTCCTTTCTTACATGTATGTCTATATATATTTATTTATATTTTGTCATATTTTTTCTATATACATTTAGAGAAAAATTTTATTTGTCTTGAAAATATAATAAAGATTCAATTGAAATAGTCTAATTAAAAAGAAAATTCAAAATATCTTTTTAACGCGCCTGAAAAATATATATAATATTTTCTATGTATTTTAAGAAGTCTAAAGAGTGTAGAAATATTTCGAAACGAAGTTTCGAGCACTAGCCATTTCATTAATAAATGGTCCAACAATTATTTTAAAGCAAGATTAGAAACAGCGATCATTCAACAAAGCTAACTTTTGACTAAAACGGTGCAGCAACTTGCTTCCGAGAGGATCGGGCGAAGAATATGATCGAGTCAGGAATAGAGGAGGATGGTCAAAGGGGGTGGCATGGACTAAAACCGTGGGAGAATTCGAAACCGAAGCGCGGTCATCAAATATGCATTTGGGAGATTTACAAGTTATTCAAATATTCCTCGCTCATGGTAAGCTACGATGAATACTCGGTGTTCCAATTTAATCCCTTTCGAAACCCGTCCGTCCTCAAATCACATTCTCGCCGTTCGTGTGACTGACCCTTCCCCTTTTCTCATTTTCCCCTCTCCGTTCCAGACGATTCGCCCATTAATTCACTCAGTTACATCGAAAAAATTGTCAAGCTCGGAGAACTGTCTACGAAAAATAGTCCGAAATAACTTGCGGCAAAGTGGATTTCTCGATATACCGACAATAAATTCGGGCGAAATATATTGGCCGATCTGACTCCAAAAAAAGATATATACATGTATGTAAAAGCGAGATTAAAAAATATAATTAAATCCCACATCATATTTAAACGTAATTATTCAACAGTAAAATCAATGAAATATCCTGTAAATTTTGCTTGATATTTGCTAGACGTACACGTGTGTTTAAATTAAACAGATCCTCTTCTATGTACAAATGTCTTGCTTTATGATATTTTTTCATTTGCATGACGATAAAATATTAAAACATTGCGCGTATTTGGCTGTATTTAAATATACGTTATTTTAAAATATAGTTATTAATTCCTGACATATTAAAAATACGCAAATCTGAGTTTTTAGCGGATTTTAAAAGCGCGACACAAATATGCGAAGCTTTGTTACCACCGCAGGCTATCCACATTATTCGAAATATGGAACAACGTATGCACAGCTGGCCTATTTTTGCAATCTGTGCATACACTGCTGAGAATAATCATTGCTACAGAAAGTCGCGGGATTTCGTACAAGTATTGTAGCGATGTATTGAATGTGCGTTAGTTCGTCGTTTTTGTATGAAATCCTATATTTAAAGGACGGAAATAGCATGGAACGGAAAACGACGCAGAGAAAAATGATTTATTTGGCAGAGGAAACGACATTTAATCAAAATTTTTTCAAGATAAAAAAAATCATCTTTATATAATCGTCTTTTCTTTAGAAAATTCGCCCTTATAAATAAATAAATAAATAAATAAATAAATAATTTATTTTATATATAGATATATACATATATAAAGTAAAACGTCGTCTACGATGAGCCATTTATCGGTAAGATAAAAAATATTTTTATTTCCATTCGTGTTCGCCAATCCTCGCGTCGATAATGCCGCGATATCCATGATATAATATTTTGTATAAAAATCAATGTGAAAGCACAGATAACAGGATATCTGGATTATCCGAATGTATTTGGAAGACCACTTACTACGTTTATCGCGGTTGTATCGCATACGGGCGCAAAGTCATGATACGAATGTTGTTATTTGAATACGCGATCGTTACCGACGATGCGTACATCGCAAAACCACGCAGGCTTCATGAAGCAACGTTAAACCTCCTGGCGAGCATTGTCGCACGTGCGAGCACGGAATTAATGTCGTCAAAGCGAATTGATATTTTGATCACGCAGGCCGGAACGGCATCCGGATAAATGTAATTTCGTTTGCGCGTAATTGAGCGTATATCGATGAAGAGATCGCGGATGGATCACTACGTATCGCGTTCGTAAAACTAACTCGATCGTATGGTTTGCCAGGCAGTTATGTCAGCAAATTGCGCCGAATTTGCTGCTATCCGATATAACACGCAAGAAACATTCAAACAAAACAAGTCGCAATTAAAATATAGAAGTTACGCGAGGATGTAATTTATCTGTCCTCTGTGGGAGATGGAAGCTCTCTTTCCATATGCGAAGAAATATTTTTAAAAAGATATTTATATTAAAAAATATTTTTTTTAAATGCACGAAAATACAACAAAAGAAAAAGATTTCGTTTTCCAAGCCCTTACGTAATCCAAGTGAGCGAGAGTCCATAAATGCGTTTGAGCGGCGCATTTATGGCGGATTACACGAGAATGGGACGATATCGTTGCTCGATAAACCGAGATTAGAATTCGATAGACCAGTCTCTCTCGTCATACGAAATAATAGCTTCGTGATGCATGTAACGTCACGAACGAGCGTTGAAAGATCGAGCTACCGGAATAGGTGAATCGAATCAAGGGAGGCAGATTGGTCAGATTTGACGAGGACGACGATATCGAGGATTCGCGTTTTCGCATCAGGGTGTCTTTTGTCGCAAACGACGAGGTAGGTAATAACGGATAATGATGCATAAACGGACGACCGTCGACTCGATTCGATCGCGACTCGATTGTCTCCGCTATTGTGATGACCGCAAAGTGCGTCATGCATGCGACATAAACGCACTCTCGAGTGCGCTCTCTCATCTCTGGCCTGCGTAACATTTGCAAGTAACGAGAACATGGCACGTAAACCATGTCGTTCGCATCCTGATAGATTTCGCGATCGAATTACAAGAGCCAATAATTCGCCAATGGAACATTTTTTTATACAACTATACGCGTTCGCTGTCAATCGTTTGTTCTTTCATCTTGTCACAAATCTGTATAATAATAGTAAACATTTACTCTGCGTAATTCGGCGTAAAAATTTTCGCCAATCATCCTCTCACAAATTTGTATAATAATAGTAAACGTTTACCTTGCGTAATTAATTTAGACTTACTTGATTTTTGCCCTTGAGAACGAGGACATTGGTGACGCGGCCGAAGGGCAGGCCCAGATGGATGATTTCTGCCTCTGACACCTCGTTAGGTATGTTCCTGATATGAATGACTCTGGAAGGTTTGCCGCTGTGACTCTTGTCGAGCTTAACCTGGAACAAAAAGAATGAATCCCTCGTGAGTCGTTGGATAAAGCGAGCTGAGAACTTAATGTCTCGTCATAAATATGTAGCCCGTAGAAAAAAAGAAGGAAAAAGATACAAATAGTCTAAAAAATACGAAAAATGTTACGATCATGTAATATATTTAAAAAATTTAATCTTATTTTTGTCAATTTCCGAATTTAATTCGATACATAACAAAGTAGAAACCTGAAATATGACTGAGTTCAATTTTTTCCATTTATATGTTTATTATACTATTAGTAATTACTATTAGTGATTATTATTCCCATCGTATTCTCTTCGTAAATCTTTCAAAAAAATGTTTCGAATATTTAAAGTGTCATTTACGTCAATTGTTGGGTAAAAATATTATATACCAGATATAAATCAGCTATTTCACCCCTCAAATCTATAGGGATATAGATTCTTAGCAAAAGTTCAATACGTCTTATTTCCAAAACGATTGCTTAATAACTAATGTCGGAAGTACACTCAGATAAAAGCATAGAATAAAAGCAAGAAAAAATTCGATCAAAGTCGTCATCATTAACAAAACAGACTAAAATGTAAACATTGCGTATAAACTAAATGATTACATGCCTACTTGAGAGCTTATATTCGATACATAATTAAGCAGAGAATATCAAACGATAAAAGCTTATATTATATGCATATTATATTATATTATATGCATATTCTTTCAAAGTGTGGAGAATTCACAAATGATAAGCATATGCAAATATAAATAATCATACACACACTTAAAGTTTTATTTAAATAACAAAAAGTAATAATTTTTTTTTATTTAAATAAAATATTATTTGAAAAGTTTATGTTCTTTCTGTGAAAATATAAATAAATAGGAAATATTTATTTAAAATGTAATAATTAAAATGAATGATTGAAATATTCTTTAAAAATGATATTAAAAATTTTTATTTCAAGTAATATTTCGAAGTCTTCAAATTTGCATTGACCATTTCAAAAATTATTTTCCCTTGTATTATTTCAAATGTTACATAGAAGAGAAAATAACTAGAGAAAAAACTCAATTTCCCATTTATTCTAAAAATGAACAATGTTTATTTAATGTTTATGCTAATTTACGAAAACAACTAAAATAATAATTTTATAAAATATGAACGGATTTTTAAGAGACATAAGCCATAATAATATGGAACTATAATACAAATAGAAATAGAACAAGAAAAAAAGAAAGAGAGAGAGAAAGAGTAATTTCAGTATAATATTCTTTTAGATATTTTATACTCGTATAATGACAAAAATAATTATTTCAATTGACCCATAAAACCTTTTTAATGAGAACTGGGTATTTAAAATATTTACTTCTAATTTTTGTAAAATCAACTATCGTAAATATTTCAAATATAGAATTATAATTAACAGAATGATACAATTTATACAGATAAAAATTATTATAACTGTACATTAATCTTAATAATATCATTATGTTAATCATTTATGACGAGTAAAAAAAATAAATTACTTTTACATAAATATTTTTTTTTCCTATTTCAAATATGATTTTATGTTTACTTGTAGAATTTATTCACAAGGAATAAATTCCAATAGAAAAAGACAACTGGCAAAATTTTCGATCGATCGTTTTCGCGAAAAAGAGAGAAGGATTTTATTGAATTCTCGACCGTTTACATTATTCCATATGCGGTGGGATAAAGAAACGCCGACCCAAGATATATATATACATATATATATATATATATATATATATATATATATATATAATCTTCAATTCTTGTATATGCGCGTGTATACTTAAGTCGAAGCTCTCGTACCGCTGGGGGCAGAGTTTTCAATCACATCTCTATCTAGTCAAACTCAGTCGAAAGCCCGCTTCCTCCTCTTCCTCGCTTCCGAAAGAACCCCCGTAACCCATCTCTATGTTGGCTTCGTCGTTGAGGTTTTCCTCGTTTTTTTTCCCTCGCCGTTCTGTGGCTCTCTTAGGAACGTCGCTGAGATTTAGTCGGGCTTAACTGATCGGAAAACGCGCTTCTTACCGGGTTAAGGAAGATGGATATTTCAGAGGCGCCCCATCCTTAATCCCTCCGCCTCTTTCACGTCCCACGGAACCGAGTTCGAAAGAACGACAGATATTTTTATTTGAGTGTGTCAATCTCTCTCTCTCTCTCTCTCTCTCTCTCTCTCTCTCTCTCTCTCTCTCTCTCTCTCTCTCTCTCTCTCTCTCTCTCTCTCTCTCTCTCTCTCTCAATACGGAGTGGCGGAAGGAAGGAATACAAGAGAGATGGATAATTAAAAACGCTGCGTGAATTATGAATTATTAGCAGGTAATTGATTTAATTAATCGGTTAATTAATTAATCGGATAATTAATTAATCGCGCAAATGAGTTTATGGCACGGTGGAAAATATAAATATACAATGACGAAATGTATGTATGATAAATGAGAATCAAATCAATTTTCAAAATACATGTGCGGAATAATGTTATATAATAAATGTAGTAAAAATATAAAGGAGAAATGGTAAATGTTATTTTTCTGAAATATATCTATTAATAGAAAGTCACACACTTGTAAATTCTCGACGTATATAGAAGATTTTTCTAAAGTTACTAAATATCTTTTTAAGCAGATTCTCTGACTGTTTTTACGGACATACTTATTCTTTAGTGAAAAGTAAATTTTGTTAATTTTTTAAATTTTAATTTGCAAAAAACTCTTTTTTCAGTCGCTTATAATTCGAAAATTATTGATGATTTTCACTAAAGAAAAATCATTTCCAAAGAATCTACTTTCAAATGTATATCCAATGTGTCTGAGGTGTACCTAAAACACACTTGTTTCAACATATAACGAAAGTATCAAGAGTTAAACGGTTTATTTTCTCTTTCATAAATACCGGGAGATGGCCGGCATTCATTAACTTAAAGTATAAAAGGAAGACCGGTGATCCTCGACTGCCCGCGAATGAATTAAAAGTCAAGTCTCGCCGACTCTCCTTTTATGTCCACCTCAATTTTCCCGGCGTGATGTGATGCGGCCACACCGTTGCTTTAATCTCGCTTGTACGAACTGTCGCAACGACGACGACGACGACGATTACAATGAAATCGGATTATAAACGAGTTGGCGTGCCGTATGCCACAATAAGACGGATTCCATGACGAGGTGATAAAGCAATTCTAGCTCAACAGGTCAAAGTCGCGATGAAATAACAAGTTTCCTTTTTAAACGGATGTAAAGAAAGGAATTATATGAAATTCTCGTCCTAATTTTTTATATTTTATTGTATATAAATTATCATTGATTGTAGTATTTTTTATAAATCTTATACATAACAAGTAAAAAAATTAATCAGACAATGTAATTGTCGGTTAAAAAAAAATCGTATCTTCGCGCATAACAAAATTCTCCCTTGTAATAATTTTCCAATTTTCTTGATTCATTTTTCTTTGAAATTTTTACCGAATAAAAAAATGAAAAAATAAGGGAGTTCGAATAATAGCGAAATTCTATAAATATTCCTTAATCTCCTACGTTCATATACTCATGATTATAACGTGAAAGTTACGAGGGATGTAATAAAAGGGGCGACGGGCCAAAGCGAGACCGCTAATCGCAATGTCCGAAGAATCGATCCTAAACGAAGCAGGGCACTTCACCGACGTCGCGCAGAATTCCATGGAAGGGTCCGCAGAGGGTGTGACACGAGTGCAAGTCGATCCCGGAAGAAGGATCTTAATTGCTCGGTGTTTCTTCGCCGCGCGCGAAGGAACGCGCCGCGCTAACAAGATTCGCTTCGAGTGGCGTTCATTCACCGTCGAGAACCACCACCGTTTCACCTCGCTTCTAATCCAGACAGCGTGTTTCCGGATTCTCTCCACTTTGAATGTATATAGAATGGATATAGAATGGAACTCCGGTACAGGCTCTTGACTCTTCAATTTCTTCTTACTCGCTCTTACTTGCGGTTACGAGAACATCGGTATCGAGAATATCACTTTCGAGCGAACTCGACTCATCAGTTGCTAAGTTTGCGTTCGTATCGAAGCGACAATATAAAAAAACAAAGATTTTTTTACTCTATGTATTGACTGATAAATCCAGAATTGCTCTTTGTCTCTCTCCTTCTCGTCCGAGGCATCCTCGGTCTCGTCGATCGACCTTCTTTACCATAGCTGATAATTTAATATAATGGAGGTAATTTGCGGAAAATCGCTCTTAGGAAACAGGCCACGCGAACCTCGTGCGTCACAACGACGCCAAAAATCGAACATGATCTCGTGATCTGATTTATTGGCAAATGCGTCGCTGCACGGTCGCGATAACGTGATTTCTTGTCATCTGACACGAGATCATTTATTTTCTATATTATACGTATTATGTGGACCTAAGAAAAATTAATATATAAAAAATTAATATATAAAATTAATATATAAAAATTAATATATAAGAACAATTAATATATAAAAATAAAATAATATATATAAAATATATATTAAAATATATATTAATATATATATAAATTAATATATAAAAATAAAATTTTTCAACATTTTTTTGACATTTTTATCAGCGAAAAAAATAGAGAAAACAATATTAATTAATTTAAATGTCTTTCGTATATAAAATAATTTAGAAGTACCCAGTTTTTAATAATATTGTATTTCTGTAGCATTAATAGTATTACTTTATCTTATTATTTAAATGATAAATTCATTTTTAGTAGAATATAAAAATCAGATAAAAATATGTCGTTCAAATAAATTATCGTGACACCATGATTCCATAATTATCTCAATATGTTGTACGCGATTCCTAATAAAGTTTTATACGAGGCATACACATATACAAGATGTCGTAAACTAGAAAGCCGCAGGTGTAATTGTAGATTCACCGTGGCGTATCACACGCAGTTACATCTGTAACGTCGTATTATTCCGCGTAAAACGCCAGTGGGAGGTCTTACGCGGGCGATAAACACGTG